AAGGACCGCCAGGAAACTTCATACTGCCGCCGAGAAGAAGCCCTCAGGTGGGACACCAACAAGGAGGCCACCTGATCACCATAGAGATGATGATAGACTCGAGTCAAAAAAACCATACGCGAAGACTCGAGGAGAAGATCGAACCAGCTACGTGATGTACCGGCCCGATCTGCTGAAAGAGGCGGAGCCGCGGGAAAACCCTCGGGTTCGGACACCGAGCAACCAGCGCCTGAAACCAAGGCTGGGCCGGCCACCAAGGGGCCAGAAGGACAACTCTCCCCCGGTAAGTCTCTAAGCGAGTCAGGACCTGGAGCAACAGCCGAACCGGGGGAAAGAGGTACAGGAACCCCCACCTCGACCAGTCGAGCCGAAAGGCATCGACCCCGACGGCCTCGCAATCGGGGAAGGGCGCCGCATAAACGGGAAGACGCCGCGACCACGCCGACGCGAAGAGGTCCACCTCGGGGCGCCCGAACGTCTGGCAAAGCCAACGGAAGGACTCGTCGTCGACTGTCCACTCCGTGGAGAGGGGAACGAAGCGAGACAGGGCGTCGGCCAAGACGTTGGACACGCCCCGTACGTGAACCGCCAGGAGAGCCAAACCCCGAGAACTCAGCAGACGAGTCACCCGAAGCGACCAACCCCAAAGAGACAAGGACCGCATCGAACCCCCGCGGTTCAGGCAATGAACCACCGGAGAGCAGTCCGAATGGAGCCGAATCGTCGATCCGCGGGCCACCCGAATCCTCCCCAGAGCAAACCACACTGCCGCGAACTCCCGCACCGTACTGTGAGCTCGACGGAAGGACGGATCCCAACGCCCCTGGCCGGCCTGGTGAGCACTGGTCACAAAACCCCAGCCGAGAGACGACGCATCCGTGTACACATCGAGCGAGGGCTCGGGTAGGCGCCAAGGCACTGAACCCCGAAAAACCCGAAGAGGAAGCCGGTGACGCAGCAACCGACGCAAGTCCCCCGGGGGTCGAACTCTGCGATCGCGAGAGAGGCGGAAGGGGGAACCCCGAAGGAACCAGAACAGCCGTCGAAGCCAAACCCGACCCGGCGGGTAGACCACCATCGCGAAGTTCAGGCTCCCGCACAGCCCCTCGAGCAACCGCCGGGTGACCCGAGGGCCCTCCAGAAACAGACAAAGGCGGGACCGCAGCCGCAGGAGAGACTCCGGAGGGAGAGACAAGGAGGCGGTCCGAGAGTCCCACACGAGACCCAGCCAAGTCCGAACCTGAGAGGGAACCAGATGGGACTTCCTCCAGTTCACCAAGAACCCGAACCCGGCGAGCTGGGAAAGAACCAAATCCCTGGCTAGCAAGCAAGCTGACTGGCTGGGAGCCCAAACCAGCCAGTCGTCGAGGTAGGCCAACACCCGAACACCTAGGAGACGCAAACGAGCCACCACAACCCGTGTAAGGCGTGTGAACACGCGAGGTGCCAGGTTCAACCCGAACGGGAGACAACGAAAGCGGTAACTCAGACGCCCCACTACAAAACCGAGCCAGTCCCTGAACCGCGGATGAATCGGGACATGCCAATAAGCGTCCCGGAGGTCCAGGGACACCATCCAAGCACCCGGCTCCAAGAGGAGCCGAACCTGAGACAGCGTAGTCATCCGAAAGGAGGGGCAATGAACCCAGGGGTTCAGACGGGACAAGTCCAGAATGAACCGCAGGTCCGCGCAGTCCCGTTTCGGAACCGGAAACAGACGGGAAACCCATCTGAGGGACGACGTCGTTTCGACGACGCCCAAGCGTACCCACTCCAAGACGACTCGACAGAGCGCAGGGGAAGAAGCCTGCCCCGCCAGCCCCGACCCCCCAAAGGGGGGAGGGGCCACCCAACGCCACCGCAGGCCGCGAGACACGACCCGAAAGGCCCACGAATCGTGGGACCAGGCGCGGGCGAACAGCGCAAGCCGCCCCCCATCGCCCCGTCAAAGGGGCAAACCGCGAAAGGGCCGGCGACCCTTACGAGACCCAGAACCCCGCACAGCGCGAACACCGCGCCGACCAGACGAGGGAGGGTCCGCAGGAGGAGCCAACCCCAAACCTGACACCAGAGGCCTACCACGACGAGAGGAACCCCGAGCCCTGGCACGACCTTTCCGGGAAGACCCACCCCGGGACCCCCGGAAAACCAACAAGTCCGACATCGGACGACAAGCCGCCGACGCAGCCTGAATAAACTGCGCCACGGCCGACTCCCCAAACAGGAGAGGACAAAAAGGTGAAGAACGCCTAAGAGCCAGAGCCCAAGCAGATTCCACGGAGGAACCCAGCACCGCCTGCCGACACGCGAGACGGGAAGCATAGAACAGGGAAACCGCATCCAGCAAAATCGGCGTGAACAGCTTCAACAAGGCAGCCGACGAACGCGCAGCCGAGGACAAGGTGCCGGACCCCGGGACGGACCCAAGCGTCCCCACATCCTCCACGAGCCAATCCGAAGACAGCTCCAGGAGGGAAAAGAACCGCAAGGCCGAACACAAAAGGCCCCGAGCGCGCAAGTCCTCCGCCACGAGCGCTGCCGAAAGGGAGGGAACCTGCACATGGAGCTGAATAACGCCCACATCGCGGGGAAGGGCAGGGGCAAACAAGCACTCATTCAGGTACTCAAGTTCACCCCCCAGGAAAACCTGAAGCACCGTGGAAGCTTCCCGCCACTCCAGCGTGCGGGAACGACAGAAGGAATGCCAGGAATCCAGACCAAACAAGGGGCAGTCTGCTAGCCAGGACGACTCCGGAACCTCGTAACGGAGCCAGAAAGGGAACGAAGTCCCAAACCTGAACGTGGACGGATCCATTTCCGAGGCATAATCCGGGTCACGCAGGAGGTAAGCTGCAAAGGCCGCTCGCACCACACCAGGTTGGATGCGATAAGCCGAAAACCTCCGGAAGGACGGAACCGACGTACCCGGGGGAACACGGAACCGTACCCGGGGAGGGGCCGACACCAAATCCAACTCGTACGCAGAGGGGGGGAAAGAAAACCCCACTCCTTGTAACAATAAGCCCCGCTCAGTGGGAAGAAAAACCCAGGCGGGGTCCAGCGGGGCCCAAGGCCCCCAAGTCAGCCCCTCCCCAGCCTCGAGGTCCGTCACCACAGGACCCGAGGCCGAGTCCTCTCCCCAAGCCCCGACCCCACAAGACAAGGACGGAGCAGCCGGAAAAGCTGGAGGAAGGGGGGCCCACTGGTCAGACCCTGAAGCTTCGGCCGGGAGACAAGACTCGAATGCCTCTGCCGCCCCCCCGGAAGGGGCAACCCCCGAAGCTGCCCGAGTCTCGAGATCAAGTAACCCCTGCTCCGACCCCGTAACCCTCAGACGCTTCGGGGCCGGAAGCAGGGGCGGGGGACCAGAACGAACAGAAGGGGAAGGACGAGGAGGTGCGGACTGAACCAGGATCGAAGCGACCCCCACCCCCAAGTCCGGGTCTCGAAAAGCAAAGCGGGGCAGCCCCGGGGCATCCGGGGAAGCAACCAACCGAGCGCGTTGCAACAGACGAAACCTAGACTGCAACGCACGTGCCGCCTGTACCCGAATAGAAACATCAGAGGATTGGGTAAATTGAGTCACAAGCAAGCAGCAACACTCACAGGACTCAGGGTCGAAAGTATCACCGACCCAACAGGCAGCGTGGCAGAGGCAAAAACAATGAGGGTCACCCTGAGACAAGGGGACCGAGCAACCCTCAAACTCGCACACAGCGAGTGGGGACTCCGGGGTCACATCCATCGGACCCACGCGCCCCCTAGGGGATTCCCAGGGTCCTGAGCGTTTACTTTAAGAGGACTCGCGCTCAGGTAGTCCCAGGCAGGGTGCTGCAAACCGGCGCCCAAAACTACCAAGCAAACTTCTAAAGCTGAACCCCAGGGACGTGTACACTCACGGGGACCTAGCAGGGGGCGCCACCGAGGAGAACAGTGGAAGGGCAAAAACAAACTGAATAAAATGACAGAACCCCCCACCAGGCAAAAACAAAAAGAAAAACAAAACCCCGCAAGAGGACAGCGAACCCCAAGGAACAGAGCCGGCCGCGATGTCGGGAAATACAAGCTGAGCAGCACCTTGCGCCCCTACCAGTGCAAACTGCCTCTTACCTGCCGGTAACAAGGGAGAACAGAACACCCAAGAGCCCAACAGGCGGCCGAAAAACCGAAAGGTAAAACGGACCAGCAGAGGCAGACCCCGAGGAGCCTGTGGAAGGCGGCCCCAAGCCCCAAGGGCAGTACTTACAGGGCACCTAGGGAAGGCAGCCCTAGGCGCATGCAGCCCGAGTACTGAAGATAACTCCTGGCTCTCGCACCCACAAAACTAACACCACACTCAAAGCACAGTGCAGTAGCGACACCGGAGCCAGAGCACACGACCATCGCCTATAGCATCAGCCTCAAGAACTGAGGTGTGGGTAGCCGGCGCGGGGGGTCTGGGGCTCCCCCTTCCCCCTCCCGGGGAGGGGGGAGCTGCGCAGACAGCGGCGCGGCAGTGTGTGACGTCACACTAATTTGCTTGTTTTCGGTTGGGGAGTTCTATCCACTAGTTCGGTATTAGGTAGCAATTTTAACCAGAATAGGGGTTTGTTTTGGGGCGCTTACCTTTCTGGGTGCCTGTTCCGGTCGATGGCAGACATAGAATGCTTCCAACTACACGGGGGCTTCTATAGGCCATTGCTCCCCTTGCCTCTCTGAGGGGGCCCGGTTCTGGCCGTGGTCCCCGGTAGGCCTAAGAACTCCATACACATGACTGATGCCAAAGTCTGACATTAGCATATCAGCCTGGGATAGCTCCGGGGAGCCGACGGGGCTCCCCCCAGAAAGGAGTTAAGAAGTAGCAAACTAATAACAGATATTGGGGCTATAGGAAATAAATTGAAATTAGAGACCTAAGGCAAGGAAGCGAGTGTCAATGAGCTTAACCCCTGCACTGTGCCCCCTATTGTAGCTGACACCCCCCTCACCCTACCTCAAGACTTTTTGTCTCAAGAAAAAACTATTTTCTTGAGAAACCTTTTTTGTCAAGAAATTTTTGTTTTTCTAATATTGTTAAAATGCATTCTCTGATCATGGGAAGAATAAAATATATAATGGTTTCTGGATGTACCATGAAGGGAGATAGGCCTACAGAATGTACCATCAGTGAAGATGGCCTACTGAACCTACCATCAAGGGAGAGGTACCAATGTAGGTTTGCATCCCACTGGGAGTTGAACACAGCCATGATGAGGCAAAGGACAATCAGCAAGAAGAACAATAGGATGATCAAGTTGTTAGTTTGCTTGTCCACCTGGAACGACAAAACAAATTACATAAACATTTTCCAGTCTATTATTAAAATTAAATTATGCCATTGGTGATAAATAATATGAATATCACTACAAGAGCTTAAAGGTTCTCATGTATTTCTTAAAAAGGCAGAAAATGATTAGTACAAGTATGAGGAGACATGCCATATGAATCTCAAACACTTCCAGAACACCTCTGGTTTAGGTCCTAGAATTAAGACCTCAGAGCTCTTCCTCATTAAGAAAATATGTGAAGTATGGGAAGAACTGCAAAGTTTTGTTGAAATAACTAAGACAAGCAAGCAATGAGCCCCAACCAGGTCCTAGTGGTATGCCTGCAAAACGTAGGGGAGAGAGAGAGTACCTCAGAAAAGTCATCACTGCCTGATGTTATAATGGAAGGGGACTCCCCTTCCAAACACCTCTCCTCCTCCCCCACTCCTCACCGTGATTTATAATTTAACGGATTAAATTAAAAAGCAAAGGTATCAATGTAACAAGTTTTTTGGGGTTTAGGAACACTTATTTACAGGCTTACTAAGAAGTATATAATCTTCACACAAGTTAATACGACTGATCACAATATTAATTAGCCATCTGCCTAAATTTTTAAGTACTGTACTGTATGTCATTACTTACTGTTGAGCGTTTAAGAGGAGCTGATGTAGCCGAGTTCTTCATAAGTTTGGTCTCATGTCCTGTGTACACAACTAGTCCAAACACCCAGTTGGTATTTTGTAATTTAGCCCCACGTAGTAGAACTTGATCTGGGCTTAGAGGAATGGCTCTGTTTGAGAAATATTGGAGATTATTCAAAGTCGTAGGGATTTTAGCAACCCCACTAGCATATCAACCATGCATATGTCCTATAAATAAATAGGTTGAACATTGAACTGGAAGCTTATCTTTACTATTTTCTCCCTGCTAAAGCTGTATCTACTAAATGAAAGTGGGAATTAGAGTAATAATATATTAATGATGATTATCCTAGCTTATATTATGCTTTAAACTTCTCTCATTCTCTATTGTAATTATTTATGTCATCCTTACACTATGCACATATAACTCTCTTATTACAATGACATAAAAGTACTTACTGACGACTTGTCTCTTTCAGATTGCCAGTAAACTGATGAAGAAATCTATTGGGTGCTTCACATTCAACTTTGCCTGACAAATTTATGAGATCTCGCGCTTCCAGAAGGTGTGCTGTCTGAGGTAGACCTTGACGAATTTTCAGATTGGTTTCACCATCAAGATTGGCAGTCTCTACGTAACATAGTGCCTGGGGTTCACTAAAAAAAAAAAAAAAAAAAACTTGTAATGAATTAAAAAAACAATGATGATAAATTTAGCAAAACTGTCACAACAGCACTTGAGATATTCTAATCTATCTATTCAAAACGTGTCCCAGTTAACAAATACAGTACACGTGCACGTGCATATACAATACAATGTAAGGAAGTGACCTCTGTTGGGAATGTTTTGTGATGAATATATGAAATAATAGTTGGATTGGAAGGGGGTTATATTTCAAAACTCCCACCAGATCAGCAGCTCTTCTGCACATGTGCAAGGGCATAACTACACTGGGGGAATAATCCGATCTAAAAAAATGTAACGTAAAAGCGTAAAAAAAATGTAACGTAAAAACGTAAAAAATGTAAAAAGTACTTAATATTGATAAAGAGAGACTATTCCAAGAACATTCTGTGCTTGGTAGCAGGTTGAAAACATACGTGTCAAATATGGAAAACCAATTTGAACAAAATGAGAAATGAAAAGGAATAAGATGTGGAACCAGAAAACATTGGAATGCTGGAGGGAAGCGAGTGTAAACATATATGTTTACACTCATATGTTTAAACGTATATGAGCGTTGTTATGTGTAAACATATAACAACACTCGGCCAATACTCTGCAGGGTGTATTTACCCAAGTGTAGTTACAGGATGAGAGCTACGCTCATGGGTATCCCAGCTTCCCAACACTCTTTATAATATAACACATTTGAAACTAATGATGATTTTGGCCTCCGCCAACTTCTCACTTAACCTAGTGAAAAGTATACACCTAATATACATTACTACGTGACCTAATAATGTATATTATGTGTATAAATATTAATTCATTAAATGTTCTTGTTTCACAGAGACAACCAGTTAATTAAAATATAAAATCCAAATTTAATATATACAATAAATAAATATATTAACTGGTATTGTACTTATATAAATCTTTATTGCCTGAATTCTGTAACTTGAGCTCAAGATATTTATATCCACGGATTGAGACCTATACAGCCCAGGTGAATGGAGAGCCTAAGATATTTACCTTGATGCTAATAAGACTAGATCTGCAGGGAAGAATTTATTGTTGTGGACCTTAACAATGTCTCCCACTTGAATATGTCGCCACTTGATCCACTGCCACTGTCCATCTTTTAGTACTTCAATTTCACGTTTATTTAATTCATCATCTGCTCTGTGACGCTTCTGAAAATTTGAAAAAAGCCAGTGTTAAATGCAATGAAATGTCATTTTCCGGATATAGCCCAAGAGGCGTCCTGAAGCTATCCAAATTGATTATGTGTTTTATTAGTTTGGGGTCATCAGTCACTTGGAGTTCTTAGCCTACCGGGGACCAGGAGCCAGAACCTGGCCCCCTCAGAGAGGAGCAGAGAGCAATGGCATATGAGCACTCTACATGTAAAGTCTTGTCATATTCTGTCTTTACTGGGGCAGTAACCTAGAGAGACAGGCGCCCCAAAAACAACTAGCTGGTAAAATTCAATCTACCACCCAAAAAAAAGCATAGAACTCTTCACACGGAAAAAGAAACAAAGAAACTAGCAACTCGGTGCACAAACTAGTACGCCTGTGCGTTAGTAGTCACTTCCACCCTTCGAAGAGTGGGGTGGGACCCGGTTCAGGCGCACCTCAGTTCAAATTCAGATGGAAAAAACACCGACCGGTGGAAGAGAGAATGTCGTTCCAAATCTGAACACATATATTACATCACATGAAACCTGTAGGCATGGCAGGAGGTGCAAAATAGCCCCACTGAAAAGCAGAGGTGCAATAGGTACACTGAGGGAAAACTCTTTATCAACATCAAGAGGCTCAAGACTTTTCAAGTCTTGGGCCTCTTGACACTCTCCCACTACACATAATGGGCATAACTGGCTGGCCTTTCATAATTTTCAAGAGAGAGAACTCGACAAACACCTCCAAATCATACCTGATTAACTAGGCTGCGAGTCATGTCAGGCTGCGAGCAGCCGCATCCAGCTGGTTGACCAGACAACCAGCTGGGAGGCCTGGTCAGAGAGCAAAGCTGACCCTGCTTTGAAGCGGCAGAGTCAGTCTCTAACTTTACCCATTCAGGTTTTGCCGATATCAAAGAGATGTTATGATCTGCACTAATTTTTACAAGCTTGAGGAAAAAATACCATTCTAAAACCTAAAACCAAGCTAGAGAATAGAAAAATCTTTGTTGAGGTTTGAATTATTGGAGGGGTGAGGGGACAAGTGTAGTGACAGGTACACAACTATAGTACTCACAATGTCTTCAGCAATTTCCTTGATAGCTGAAACAACCAAGATGCAGATAAGTGGCACTAACGTTGTGTACCGACCCGTCGGAGACACTCCAGGAATTTGCTGCAAAGACAAAAACAATAAAATGATAAAAAATGATTTTATTAATGCATTTATGTTAGCTCTTCCTTTCTAGTAAATATTGTGCTGTAGTTAACTTTACACCAATCCTTCAAAATAAAAACTGACAACACAATGGGTAGCTTAGAACATAATGCAACAGGTACTTATGTTCATGTTGAAAATAAATTTGTGGAAAATTATTTATGTTCATGACTTAGTGACCAGGAAGCTGAGGTTGGAAGCTGCATCAGGTGGCCTCATCTGTTAAGGTGCAATGCTGTTCTTGGATTTCATTGGCACACCCACCACAACTGCTTAGTGGTTCATCATAGTGTATATAAACAGTTTTATATATGTGTGTAAATCATGGGTGTAGGGGTGGAGACGAGGGTGTAGGGGTGGAGACGAGGGTGTGGGGGTGGAGACGAGGGTGTGGGGGTGGAGACGAGGGTGGGGGGGTGGAGACGAGGGTGTGGGGGTGGAGACGAGGGTGTGGGGGTGGAGACGAGGGTGTGGGGGTGGTGACGAGGGTGTGGGGGTGGAGACGAGGGTGTGGGGGTGGAGACGAGGGTGTGGGGGTGGAGACGAGGGTGTGGGGGTGGAGACAGGGGTGTGGGGGTGGAGACGAGGGTGTGGGGGTGGAGACGAGGGTGTGGGGGTGGAGACGAGGGTGTGGGGGTGGAGACGAGGGTGTAGGGGTGGAGACGAGGGTGTGGGGGTGGAGACGAGGGTGTGGGGGTGGAGACGAGGGTGTGGGGGTGGAGACGAGGGTGTGGGGGTGGAGACGAGGGTGTAGGGGTGGAGACGAGGGTGTGGGGGTGGAGACGAGGGTGTGGGGGTGGAGACGAGGGTGTGGGGGTGGAGACGAGGGTGTGGGGGTGGAGACGAGGGTGTGGGGGTGGAGACGAGGGTGTGGGGGTGGAGACGAGGGTGTGGGGGTGGAGACGAGGGTGTGGGGGTGGAGACGAGGGTGTGGGGGTGGAGACGAGGGTGTGGGGGTGGAGACGAGGGTGTAGGGGTGGAGACGAGGGTGTAGGGGTGGAGACGAGGGTGTGGGGGTGGAGACAGGGGTGTGGGGGTGGAGACGAGGGTGTGGGGGTGGAGACGAGGGTGTGGGGGTGGAGACGAGGGTGTGGGGGTGGAGACGAGGGTGTAGGGGTGGAGACAAGGGTGTAGGGGTGGAGACGAGGGTGTAGGGGTGGAGACGAGGGTGTAGGGGTGGAGACGAGGGTGTAGGGGTGGAAACGAGGGTGTGGGGGTGGAGACGAGGGTGTAGGGGTGGAGACGAGGGTGTAGGGGTGGAGACAGGGGTGTGTGGGGGTGGAGAGGGAGATGTGTGGAGGGTGGAGAGGGAGATGTGTGGAGGGTGGAGAGGGAGATGTGTGGAGGGTGGAGAGGGAGATGTGTGGAGGGTGGAGAGGGAGATGTGTGGGGGGGTGGAGAGGGAGATGTGTGGAGGGTGGAGAGGGAGATGTGTGGAGGGTGGAGAGGGAGATGTGTGGAGGGTGGAGAGGGAGATGTGTGGGGGGGTGGAGAGGGAGATGTGTGGGGGGGTGGAGAGGGAGATGTGTGGGGGGGGGGGGAGAGGGAGATGTGTGGGGGGGGGGGGTGGAGAGGGAGATGTGGGGGGGGGGGGGGTGGAGAGGGAGATGTGTGGGGGGGTGGAGAGGGAGATGTGTGGGGGGGGGGGTGGAGAGGGAGATGTGTGGGGGGGGTGGAGAGGGAGATGTGTGGGGGGGTGGAGAGGGAGATGTGTGGGGGGGTGGAGAGGGAGATGTGTGGGGGGGGTGGAGAGAGGGAGATGTGTGGGGGGGGGGAGGGTGGAGAGGGAGATGTGTGGGGGGGTGGAGAGGGAGATGTCTGGGGGGTGGAGAGGGAGATGTGTGGGGGTGGAGAGGGAGATGTGTGGGGGGGGTAGAGAGGGAGATGTGTGGGGGGGGTAGAGAGGGAGATGTGTGGGGGGGGTAGAGAGGGAGATGTGTGGGGGGGTAGAGAGGGAGATGTGTGGGGGGGTAGAGAGGGAGATGTGTGGGGGAGTGGAGAGGGAGATGTGTGGGGGGTGGAGAGGGAGATGTGTGGAGGGGTGGAGAGGGAGATGTGTGGGGGGTGGAGAGGGAGATGTGTGGGGGGGGTGTGGAGAGGGAGATGTGTGGGGGGTGTGGAGAGGGAGATGTGTGGGGGGTGGAGAGGGAGATGTGTGGAGGGGTGGAGAGGGAGATGTGTGGGGGTGGAGAGGGAGATGTGTGGGGGGGTGTGGAGAGGGAGATGTGTGGGGGGTGGAGAGGGAGATGTGTGGAGGGGTGGAGAGGGAGATGTGTGGGGGGTGGAGAGGAAGATGTGTGGGGGTGGAGAGGGAGATGTGTGGGGGTGGAGAGGGAGATGTGTGGGGGGGTGGAGAGGGGGATGTGTGTGGGGGTGGAGAGGGGGATGTGTGTGGGGGTGGAGAGGGAGATGTGTGGGGGTGGAGAGGGAGATGTGTGGGGGTGGAGAGGGAGATGTGTGGGGGTGGAGAGGGAGATGTGTGTGGGGGTGGAGAGGGAGATGTGTGTGGGGGTGGAGAGGGAGATGTGTGTGGGGGTGGAGAGGGAGATGTGTGTGGGGGTGGAGAGGGAGATGTGTGTGGGGGTGGAGAGGGAGATGTGTGTGGGGGTGGAGAGGGAGATGTGTGTGGGGGTGGAGAGGGAGATGTGTGTGGGGGTGGAGAGGGAGATGTGTGTGGGGGTGGAGAGGGAGATGTGTGTGGGGGTGGAGAGGGAGATGTGTGTGGGGGTGGAGAGGGAGATGTGTGTGGGGGTGGAGAGGGAGATGTGTGTGGGGGTGGAGAGGGAGATGTGTGTGGGGGTGGAGAGGGAGATGTGTGTGGGGGTGGAGAGGGAGATGTGTGTGGGGGTGGAGAGGGAGATGTGTGGGGGTGGAGAGGGAGATGTGTGGGGGTGGAGAGGGAGATGTGTGGGGGTGGAGAGGGAGATGCGTGGGGGTGGAGAGGGAGATGCGTGGGGGTGGAGAGGGAGATGTGTGGGGGTGGAGAGGGAGATGTGTGGTGGTGGAGAGGGAGATGTGTGGGGGTGGAGAGGGAGATGTGTGGGGGTGGAGAGGGAGATGTGTGGGGGGTGGAGAGGGAGATGTGTGGGGGGTGGAGAGGGAGATGTGTGGGGGTGGAGAGGGAGATGTGTGTGGGGGTGGAGAGGGAGATGTGTGTGGGGGTGGAGAGGGAGATGTGTGTGGGGGTGGAGAGGGAGATGTGTGTGGGGGTGGAGAGGGAGATGTGTGTGGGGGTGGAGAGGGAGATGTGTGGGGGTGGAGAGGGAGATGCGTGGGGGTGTAAAGGGAGATGCGTGGGGGTGTAGAGGGAGATGCGTGGGGGTGTAGAGGGAGATGCGTGGGGGTGTAGAGGGAGATGTGTGTGGGGGTGTAGAGGGAGATGCGTGGGGGTGTAAAGGGAGATGCGTGGGGGTGTAGAGGGAGATGCGTGGGGGTGTAGAGGGAGATGCGTGGGGGTGTAGAGGGAGATGCGTGGGGGTGTAGAGGGAGATGCGTGGGGGTGTAGAGGGAGATGTGTGGGGGTGTAGAGGGAGATGTGTGGGGGGTGGAGAGGGAGATGTGTGGGGTGGAGAGGGAGATGTGTGGTGGTGGAAAGGGAGATGTGTGGGGGGGGGGGGTACACATACCTGGAGCAGGGCAATAATCAAGAAGAAAACATTGGCGTAGCGTCTGAACTGCTCGAAGAGGAACATGGGCAGGAAGAAGAGGAGCTTGTAGCGGTACTTGGCAGTGGAGACGGCATTAGTGCAGTACTTCTGTGGCTGGGGACCATTGAGGTAGACGGTGCGGTGGTCCTGGCCGCCCGCCCCGCCGCCCATGCCGCCGCCACCACCGCCCATGCCGCCCTCCCCGTCACTCCCGCCCCCACCAGAGTCATCATCTGTAGAAATGAAGGTGACAGTCTGGTATCTCATTTGTGGCTTGCAAGAACATCACAGTATACACATCGCCAATGTTCACTAATCTCACGGCTAACACTACAATCATTCGATTTTGGTCTAGAATAAAACACTTCAACAATTTATAAAAACAAGATATGAGATAAGAGGGAGTGTGGGTGTGCCCGCACGCTGGCCGTCCCAAGTTCAACTGAACACTTCAAGAGTTACCTCGTCCATTTGGTTTATGGTAGTTACCTTCCCCGAGAGTTAAGTCTCCCCCACCAGCCTCTAACACTCCGGAACCTATCAATGGTTCCTGCGTTATGCCTCCATAAATAGTGCTGTAAAACTATAAGGATATGGCATGACTCTCAGATGCCTGGGACCACCCCATACATGCCTGGGACCACCCCATACATACCTGGGACCATCTCATACATGCCTGGGACCACCCCATACATACCTGGGACCATCTCATACATGCCTGGGACCAGCCCATACATACCTGGGACCAGCCCATACATACCTGGGACCATCTCATACATGCCTGGGACCAGCCCATACATGCCTGGGACCAGCCCATACATGCCTGGGACCACCCCATACATGCCTGGGACCAGCCCATACATGCCTGGGACCACCCCATACATACCTGGGACCATCTCATACATGCCTGGGACCAGCCCATACATGCCTGGGACCAGCCCATACATGCCTGGGACCACCCCATACATGCCTGGGACCACCCCATACATGCCTGGGACCACCCCATACATGCCTGGGACCACCCCATACATGCCTGGGACCAGCCCATACATGCCTGGGACCAGCCCATACATGCCTGGGACCAGCCCATACATGCCTGGGACCATCCCATACATGCCTGGGACCATCCCATACATGCCTGGGACTAGCGCACTACAGATGTAACAACCTGTATCACTAACCTTGTAACAACCTGTATCACTAACCTTGTTATAACCTCTTAATTAATCATCAATATACAGATTCACTTATAGTCTGCACTGAAAACTTCCTTCCTGCTCACCTTGGCTCTCTACGTGTGGCTTGTAAACAGCCTCGGTAAGTTAATGGCTTGTTATTGAGGGTAATTAAGCCCAATTGAAGGAGGGGAAACGAAGATAATTACATCATTCTAACAGAAAGATTAACTTGAAGCGGCGACGAGCATTACTCAAGACATGACATTTAAATGTGTGCACGTCCTTATGAGTTATTCCCCCCTTGTTTCGGTTCCCAGTACAAGTCCTATACTAGTTACGAATAACAGTACTCTTATGTAAAATTGTGTACTATTGTACACAAGTGTGTACAATATAGCGTATTATTGAATTGTAGTACTTTTGAGTCGACATTTAAGGTTTAAGGAGGAGGTTAAAGTAACAACAATTAAACTATTAGTGCAAGCTTTGGTCCTGTGTCTTGTCACGTAACAACACTAACGTGATAACCAACATTAACTTAAATGAGAGCAAGAGATAAAGATAAGAGAGTAATCCCAAGAATTCTTTATTAACCAAGTGGTTGATCCACTGATGCTTATTCTGAGTAACTTGAGTAATGAGGAACTGTTACATTTTCCCTTTTGTAGACTTAATTACAAATATTAGAAGAGCCTTTCGTTAACCCTTCCTCCCTTCTTCGTTACAATGGGGACATGCCCCACACGACTGGCATATTCTCCACATTTTCCCAGATTCCCCAAACCTTCCGAGGCATTCCACCCCCACCCCCAAGCTTCCAGGGATATGCCCCCAAGCTTCCAGGGATATGCCCCCAAGCTTCCAGGGATATGCCCCCAAGCTTCCAGGGATATGCCCCCAAGCTTCCAGGGATATGCCCCCAAGCTTCCAGGGATATGCCCCCAAGCTTCCAGGGGTATGCCCCCAAGCTTCCAGGGGTATGCCCCCAAGCTTCCAGGGATATGCCCCCAAGCTTCCAGGGGTATGCCCCCAAGCTTCCAGGGATATGCCCCCAAGCTTCCAGGGATATGCCCCCAAGCTTCCAGGGATATGCCCCCAAGCTTCCAGGGATATGCCCCCAAGCTTCCAGGGATATGCCCCCAAGCTTCCAGGGATATGCCCCCAAGCTTCCAGGGGTATGCCCCCAAGCTTCCAGGGATATGCCCCCAAGCTTCCAGGGGTATGCCCCCAAGCTTCCAGGGATATGCCCCCAAGCTTCCAGGGATATGCCCCCAAGCTTCCAGGGATATGCCCCCAAGCTTCCAGGGATATGCCCCCAAGCTTCCAGGGATATGCCCCCAAGCTTCCAGGGATATGCCCCCAAGCTTCCAGGGATATGCCCCCAAGCTTCCAGGGATATGCCAACAAACTCCTAGAATATGTCCTAGGCTCCCGGAATATGTCCCGAGCCGCCGTCATCAGCAAGCACTAGACTTAGAACAATCTACCTACCTTATCTACATTACCTATCTACCTACCTTTTCTACATTAGAATGACAAACTGGTGCAATATGAAGGTACGGGACGTTATCTTGAGTTGATTTCGGGGCTTTAGTGTCCCCGCGGCCCGGTCCTCGACCAGGCCTCCACCCCCAGGAAGCAGCCCCTGACAGCTGACTAACTCCCAGGTACCTACCTATTTACTGCTAGATAACAGGGGCATAGGGTGAAAGAAACTCTGCCCATCGTTTCTCGCCGGCGCCCGGGATCGAACCTGGGACCACAGGATCACGTGCCTAGCGTGCTGTCCGTTCGGCCGGCCGGTGTTTCTGACCAAACTCCACTGGCAGTCGCAGTAGGATATGTAACTTACCATCTAACAACCATTTTTTTTATATATATATAAGAGTTGTTACATTCTTGTAGAGCCACTAGTACGCGTAGCGTTTCGGGCAGGTCCCTGGAATACGATCCCCGCCGCGAAGAATCGTTGTTACAACCAAGTACTGATTTTACTGTTGAGTTAAACAGAGGCTACAGTTAAGGATTTGCGCCCAGTAAATCCTCCCCGGCCAGGATACGAACCCATGATAAAGCGCTCGCGGAACGCCAGGCGAGTGTCTTACCACTGCACCATGGAGACTGGTGAGACATACCACCATTACCTAACTGGTGAGGGTGAGTGGCGGTGGTAACAAGCACTGCCCATCTTATGATGGTGACAACATACGAGTGGTAGCGGTGACAACATGACAGTGGCAACAGTGCACCAAGTGGCCGGTGGGGCCCGATGATGGTGTCAACAAGCGTGAGGGTGATGGTGTCCGAGCAGCTAAACAGTCGCCACTTACAGCTAAGCCCAGAAATCATCTCCAAGATGATTGCGCCACTGTTGAGAATGACAAGGTTGAGAAGTTTGCTTGTTGTCCTTTGTTGTGGAGGCTGGAGCGGCGACACTAGAGGCGTGTTAGAGGCACTATGGGGCGGGATGATGTGCTGATGGCGTCAGCTGGTCGTTGGGGCTTTGACAAAGCATTTGTTTTTGTGTGTTTGGGTGTGTGGGCGGCGCGAGATATGTCCACTGGTCAGCTGTGGCACAATTAGTCGATCGCCTGGAAATATTTAGCCAGTGCTTTGACTATTTGACCTTTTATATATAATGAGAGGTCGCCACCTCTTAACCTAATATATACTCGATGGTAAAAGGTATTTTAAGGGCGGTAAGTACTTATTTAAAGTTTACTCTGGCACTATGATGTCAAAAACAGTGAAGGAGGTAATGTTCAGCTGTTTCTGACACATTGCAGTGGTTGCAAAGTTCGTTGAAAATAACCTTCGTACAGCTTACCTCATGAGAAATAACATCTCTGCCTCCTCTGACCAACTGAGGTGTACCAATGTAATGTATCAATACAACTGCGGCTCTGGAGACTGTGCGCTCAGAAATATATGCTACATTGGACATACCACGAATACACCGAGTAGACCTCTTACACTTCACTTACAAGAGGGAGGTATTAAGCAACATCATTCTCAACACCACACCATCATCGTGAATCACCAAAACATGGTGAAAGATACGATAATAATCACACCCCGACGATCGTAGGAGGCTCCGTACGCTTGAGGCTGTGTTCAGTCGGGAGTCGACGCCCGTTATCAACATCCAGATGAATTAGATTTCGAATAACAAATTTGTAACAATAATTATTGTTGTTTTAGATTGAGTTACTCAGAACGAAATGTCCATGTAGCACGGGCTATAGTGAGCCCGTAATTGAGTTCGGTTATTCGTGATTACCTTGTTACTGTGATATTTGGGTCAAAGTTTTAAATGGAGGTGGAGTTTCCTCCTTTTCTCCCGTTTCTTTTCCGCTTCGGTTTTAGCACATTGGTTTTGTATAAAATAAATAATTGTGTTATTTTTTTACAAATTTGGCCGTGAGAGGTGAACGGCCTAGATTGGCGAGACTAAGGGTTAGGAGTAGACTGATCAATGTGAGGAGGGTAGCAGAGTCGCTGCTTCTCTGCGCTACCTTCGCTATATGAGTCGATACCTTCATATTTCAGAGCTGCACATATTACCAATGAAACTGACAAAGAATAATCATGAAATCAATAACCGATACGCTGGTGATGGCGCAGACATAACATGGTATTTATCATAGTTGTAAACCATTTTGTGAAATATACAGTAAGGGAACTCAGTAAGTGTTCAGTGTATCAATCGTCTAGGTGTAAACAGTTTTGTAAACTAAACAATGTAGGAAACATTGGTGTAACGGCTACTATGATAGTGCGTGCTGCATGCCATACACAGAAGTACCTGCGTTAGTGGACGGAGTGTCCAGCTTGAGAGGTTCAAGACAGGTGGTGGGGGTGGAGAGGGAGTCCCGGCGCAGCGACACGCTCACCCATGACCTCCGGGACTTGCCACGCCGCTCAGATTTTTGTGACTTGATTGATCGCTCAGATTTAAGAGATTTTACAGAGTGTCGTGAACGTGAGTGTAGAGGTGTGGAAGTGTCCATGGCGAGGAGCGTGGTGATGCTAATGTCATCGTACTCCCCCACGCT